AGTTGCAAATATTAGAGGGAAAACTAATCAAATCACAGAATAACTGTAAGCCACAAGTGTGATATAGCCTTGAAAGAGGCAAATGCAGGTTGAGGTAAAGTGTACCAGAGAAGGTATTTCTAGTAGGGACAGGGGAAATTACTGTAAATGCCATTCTACAAGACACAGGTGAGCCATCACCTGCAGAGCTATGTATGTTTCTAGTCACTGACACTCAAGAAAGGTAAATTAATCAAACTGGAACACATACAGAGAAAGGCTACCAGAATGGAAGTTACAAAAGCAGACAAAGAGTTTGGTTTGCTCAGCCTACCAAAACAGGATTACTCTTGGTATATACACACCAGGTAAATGCCATGGAAGCAGAAAAGGTATTTAGGATAAAGGACTTTAGAAGACCAAGTTCCAAGACAGGCATTGGAAGACCAAGTTTCTGAAGCCTTCCAATATGAATAACAGTGAGAAACTAGAGTTGTAAGACAAAGTCTGATTATCTTACAAAAGTGATGCAGGAAAGTGTACACATTGTTCATGAGGCTACTTTCAGCTCTATGTTCTATAATGACTATTTGACATACTTTACCCACTGTTTAAGTGTGAGTTATGAAGGGCTGTTGCTTTGTTCCATTTACATGTAGACTATAGCCATACGCACATGATCACCCTTACAAACTGTAGCTAAATATTTAATCATGGGTTTAAAAATTCAACTAGAGTTTGATTAAAATAAAACTACTTTCCATGTTTTTATTACTATGTTAACTGAAGTAACTGTTTTATCACTGTATACATTCACCTAACCTTCCCAAAGCCCTAAAAATAAAATACTATGTTCTTAATACAAAAAGTCATTCACACAGAAAGTCTGAGTACAATTCTCCAAACCATACCTGATGTTCTTATATACACATGGTAAGGAAACGCAAGACATTAAAGACCTCACGTTTCTAAAGTTCACTGTTCCTCACCTTAATCTTCTGATACCACAATCATTTACAAAACAGTTGCTTCCTATTTCAAATGAATAAAACTTCATGTATGTAACAGCAGCAGCAGATGAACACTTATGAAAAAGCAACACTGCTTTCATGCAAGCATACAAACTTCAAAGAACCAAGGGAAGAGAAAGGGCAAGAGAGATTATCCACAGTACAGTATAGCAGGATTTTGTTTAAGTTTTTAAAAAGATGCATCTTCTAAATGGTAGCTCCTTATTCCAGGAAGGCTGCAAAATAGGATTTTTACCGCAGAAAGGGCCACAAGATTTGGCACTATTATTTGGAACTATTACTTTGTTGTAGTACTTTGCCCGTATAGCCAGTAATTAAATCCCATTCAATGAATGTTACCTTAAAATTATTAAGAGCCTGGAAGTGCCAAAAGCAGGAAGTTTGCAGAATATTTTAGTCAGAAGTTGAGATGTGCAGTCCTAAAGGTCTTTCTTCATGAAAATGAATTGAATAGAACCATTTAAAACATGCTCCCACTAGCAAAGGCATATAGATTTCATGAGGCTTTTCAAACAAATAGACTCATCTATAGCTGGTTTGGCAAGTTTCTATCACCATATCAATCTTGTGTCAATGTCAATAGCTCAGGGTAGTTTGCAAAAAAAGGAATGAATAGAATGTTTTTATTTTGTATGCTTTGAAGATATGTTAAGGAAACAGAAGAACATCTAAGCACTGCACATCTGTGCTAGTTTAACTAAAAGCACAAGCAAATGTTTTTGTTAGAACAACCCATAATATTTTAGGATTGACAAAAATCCCAAGAATGCTTAACACTCTGCTTTCTGTTAAAATTGCCAACTTAAAAATTGTTTTTATGTTAAACATTTTCCTATTAAATGCACAGTGCCAATTAATTTAAAACAGGTATTTAAAACTACAAGTATTCAGGATAGTGAAGGCATGATCCATAGGCTATACAGGCAAATATAGCATAGACAGGCCCAGAGTCAACACCATCCTCATTGTCAAGACTGTCTGGTAATTTTGTAATAGATAGATGTCAGCCAAGGATTAATCTGATGCCATAAAATTAATTTCCAGCTGATGTTTTACAAGCAGGGAAACCCTGGCCCTACTGTTTTCATTTTGGTCGAGATGTCACCCTAGGCCTCCAGAGAGGAAATACAAAGTGCACCAACTTAAATCTATTTAGACTTGTAAACCAAGCAAACCCTCCGTCTTTCAGATCAGATTGCTAGCTATCTGTATATCTCGTTAAAAAACCAAAAAACGCCCCCCACAAAAAAACAAACAGAAAAGCTGGCACAGCTTTAAGTCCTTAAGATATCAAGTGTTTCAGACTCTAGCCACGGAACTTTGTCTTGATCTGCTGACTATAAAATAAGCAACTCCCAAAAGTTTGACTAAGCAAGTCAGATGCATGACAGCATAATACTTGTTACGGGTCATGTCATCTTAAGAAAAAAAAAAAAGGTAGCATATCAAATAGAAAGGTTTTAAAAACACAGACTACCCCAAGCTCAGGGGCTAATGCATAAGCCAGTGAAATGATTTTTCAGACAGAAACATATGCAGTAGTAATTTAAAAAGAAAAAAAGCCTCAAAGCTTAGTTTCCTATAATAAATGACATTTCACTTCTAAGGTACAATAACCTGTGAACTGACTGCCCAGAGGAGTTTTCCATCTATCAACTCCTCTGTGAAATCCTATGAAATATGAACTTTCATTTCTACCCAGGAGAACTTTTACAATCTTTTCTCCAATGCCTGATGAAGAGTGTTTGTGCCCGAAAGCTTGCAATTAAAGACTTTTTTTGCAAAAATCTTGTTGGTTTAATAAAAGATATCATCTCTACTATCAGTCCCAATTGACTTTTCCTCTAGACCAATACAGCTACAAGCTGAATACCAATAACTTCTGTAGTATTCAGGGTTTAAATATAGTCCATGTGGGTCTAAACTCCCCAAACTTTCCTCTTACAATATCAAAATGATCAGACTTCAAAACTGTGACTACAAGAAATTTAAGCCAGGGCTGCCAAACTCACCTTGGGTCTGAGCTGGATTCAGAGCATGGATCTCCCTGCAGGCCAGATCTGGCTAGGAGCAAAAGGTGGTAGCAGCAGCTGTGGTCACTACAGCAGAAATGGGCAAGCAGCCATAGGCCAGGCAGCTGGCTGCCATGGCAGAAGGTGGCAACTGAGGGATGTGCTGCATATGCTTCACTCATCTGCCTGCCGCCAATAGCCACGTCCACTAGGACAGCAGGGCCCCAGATTTCACAGCAGCTTACCACCGCCCACATCCCCAACCTGTGGCCATTTGGTGACCCAGACAGAGCTGATCTCATGCCAGATCCAGCCCACAGGTTATATATTTGACACTAGGGATGCACCCTAGATTTTTTTGGCGAGTACCAATGGCCAATTATTAACCAGCCATATTGGCCGATACTGCTCTGACTGCCAATATGCACCCCAGCAGCTTGGAGACCAGTGTCCGGCCAGTAAGTCTGTGGTAGGAAGAGGGCATGGGGGAGGGAGATCAAGGCCCCCATGATGTGGGAAGGAATTGGAATTGGAATTGGGCTGGGGCAGGGGCAGGCACTGCCCAGGCAGGGCAGGGTGCGGCATAGGACAGAGCTGTGAGCAGCAAATCCAGGAGGGAGGGGAAGAGGCCACAGCAGGGGTGGGCAGCTCCCCACTGCTGTGCACACCCCTGGGGAAGGCATGGGTGGCACGCGCCCTTCTGATCTGCTCATGGGGCGAGAACAGACTGCTCACTGTGGGCTCAGGGCCCGAGGCTGCACTGGCCTCTTCACGGTAGGAAGGCTGAGCCAGGGCTGCGCTGGGGTGGGGGGAGGCCCAGAGCAGATGGTGGCAGTGCTAGGAGGCGCAGAGCTACAGTGAATTTTGGGGTGGCTACATCCCACCCTGTAGCCCCCCTTCCAGTGCTGCCACCGCACACTCCACCTGCCCCAGGACCAGCCCCCCGCCATGAAGAGGTCAACATAGCTCCCAGTCCACAACAGGCAGCCTGCCCTCGCCCCACGCGCAAATCCAGGAAGTACATGCCCCCCATGCCTCCCTCGTGGGTGCGCAAAGTGGCTCAGAGCTGTTCACCCCCATACACACACACACCCCTGTGCCCCCCTTGGCTCTGTCCCACCTGCCCCCGCACACTCCCTCCCTCATCATGGGGACCTAGCTTTGCCCCCTCCTCCTTTCCTTCCCCCCAGATGATGCTCGTTTTACCCCCCCACCCCATCCCCCCTCACTTACCCACCTGGTGCTGGTCTCCAAGCTGCCGGGCTGCATTCCTGGCTGTGCACATGGCATTTATCAGAGACACCATCAGCTACACCGACTAAAAAGGCAGTTGCTGATAACATTCATTTTCCTTTTATCGGGGTCAATCTAATATGGACCAATATATCAGTGCACCTCTATCTGACACCCCCGACTTAAGCAATTCAGCCCACTACATTCTACAGAGAAAAACAAGGCAACTAGTGTGAAAACCTGTTTGCAGCAGACACGATTGTACGTCGGCATTTAACTACTGCGCAGCTCTATGGATATAGATGTTACAATCGTTACAAAACCTGATGATAGCAACAGCTCTTATTAAAAACCTGTGTGTCTTCTGAAACAGCAGGAACTTGAACGACAAAAACAGATAAGCCAGATAAACACCCGCAGGACAGGACAGATGACCTACAGTCCGCCCAGTATTGCACAAGAGGAGCTGCCTGGGAACGGGGAGAAGAGGCAGCAGTGGGTCTCAACCCTCCCTAGCCTCCAGGCACCCACCGCCCTCCGCCACTTCAGGGACGTGTTTATCCGGGGCAGCACTCGCCTCCCACATCATCCCGACAAGCCCCCGCCGGAGCCCGGAAGGAGAGCCCCGGCCTGGGAGCCTCTGCCGCGACAGGGCAAGAGGGAGCCGCTCCTCCACTCCCCGCCCCGGCAGCCCCCCTCAGGACCGGCCCCGGCCCCGGCCCCGGCCCCGGCCCCGCACACTCACCCACATCCTGCTCGAAGGGGTTGGGGGTGAAGAGCGGCATGGCGACAGCGAAGGCGGAGGCGAAGGCGACAGCTGGCTCCCCGCGGCCGGGACCCTCCCCGCTTCCGCTTCCGGCCGCCCCCGCGTAGGCCCCGCCGCTCGCGTCCGCTCCGCGCCTGACCCAAAACACGGGGATCCGCAGAAAAGAACCACCTTCCCTCCGCGGCCGGAGGAGCCCTCGCCCGGGGCTCTGCGCCTTCCGGGCGGCTTCTCGGAGCGGGGCAATGGAGCCAGGCACCGACCTAGACACCGGGGGCCTTAGAGCGGAGGGGGAAGGCCAAGCACAGCTTGCACGCGACCACGCCCACCCCACGCACTTGGGGGCGGG